AAATAGAGAGCGTTTGGGTGGATTGAGGAAATCCGTTTGGCGCGAAGCCTGAGTTACTGACTGCGCTTGAAACGAGTGGACATGTGGCTCCCTTTCAGCGAACAGTGCCGAGTTGCACGCTCCAAAGGTAGAAAGGATGTCTTTGAAATCTAAATCGAGCTCAAGCCCCTTGAAACAAGGCTTAAAATGGTGTGCGAATTCAGTGCGAATGTAGTAAATTCCAAGGCACACTTCGCGCATTCCCCACAAAGCTGGGTGCCAGGTAGGTTGCCAGCAGGACCTCTGGCGAACTCGTCTCATGGCGCCCTTAAGGTTTTGGCGTATGTAACAAGGACGCTATTAGGTGATATTAGGTGGAGGGTGTGAGGAAGACTTGTGAAAAGGCAAGGTGGATGATAGAAACGACTCTATGTGGGCCGAATCTCCGACTATGTGGGCAGGCATCTGCTCACAGCATGTACAGGATGACCTGTCAGGGACAACACAAAAAAACAAAGAGTGGGCATGTGCTGCTGGACTCCATGGACGTCCCAACATATATATATATATGTTTCCTCTGATTACAGTGTCAATCAAAAGGAGAGATCCGACATCTTGCTTGCTTGTTTCTTGGCCTAACAAGGACGCTACTAGGGGCTGGCCTTACTACTAGGAGCGATCGGACGCTACTAGGGGCTCCTTGCTTTTTGGCACCGATAGTTTCACAAGGTCACGTCCAAACACACGTCTTTTGCGTTGGCGAGGTTCAAACTTTAGAGCGCCAGGTTCAGTGGGAACATGGTACCCTGGTATTGTCCTTTGAGTCCTCTGATAAAGAACCACCCAAATTCTTGAATCCCTCAGGTCAATAAAGGAAGGAAACTAAATTACCTTCCTTTCCTAGCTATTTTTCTTCCTGTATTTTCACTTGTGTTTGACACTCTGGCTCTGATAGTCCGCTGCCGCTGAAGGGCTGCAATGAGGATGAAACAGCTTCGACGCCTGGCAAGTTGACTGCAAACATAAGAATTTTGAAGCAGTACCAGTGTCTGGGACCTACGATTGTTACTTTGGGAGTGCCATGGCGAATATTATGGTCCCATCTCGAAGGTATCAACTTTTGACTTTGGACAACGGCTTCATGTCCAAAAACAGCTAAGCCTTCCTGCATGCCTTTTCCCGGCTTGCGCCAGCCTCTCCATTGCTGTTTTTCTTGGCCTAGAGCCACATTTGCGTTTGATGTGTGTATCAGTATCCAAGTTTGGGCAACACCAAAGTTTCTGAAAGTCAAGCGATTCTTCGTTATATACAACAAATTTTGACGGGTCTTTCCGTAGCATATGGTAGTGATCTGCTCCACAAATTACCTCAACACTTAACGGCCTGCCGTTCCAAAATGGCATCAAAGGGTTGGCACGGCACAGGGACATGCCACCACTAGATTAGGTCATTAGTGTCTGCCAAGTGGCTTCACGTCACCCAAAGAATCCGGTGGGCGCAGCTCAAGGAATTTCAGCCAACTCGGCTCCAGCTCGGATATGCTGTGTTGTCGAACGTCACAAAGTCTGTGACGACGGTTGCGCAAGGAAACGCAAGAACGGAACATGGTGAAACAAATGGACAATGAACTTGAGAGAGGAGGGGGTGAACGAAAGGTAGCAGGCAATCACAAGTAACCCTGGTAGAAGTCCATGACGGCGTGAACCGGCGCAGGGGGGATTTGATCCAGGGCGGGGCCCCCCCCCCGACGAACAGAATCAACTCTTACAGGACCAAACTCAATGCACAATCCCAACTCCTGATTGTAATACATTTTTGCTTAAAGCAAGGAGAACTCAGGTAGCTCAAGCTACCTTTCGTGACTAGTTGGGATTGCACAATACCAAGTCCTTCCGAAAAGTGGCATCAAAATGACTCTGTTTTCCCTCTGCCTCGGGAGCCTTTGCATCCACTGGGCATTCAGTGCCAAGCAAGGTGTTCTGTGAGCAGTCTCACGTTGGAAGGCCGGTTTTGGCACGATTAAACATGTTCATCATGTTCCCCTCTTGCGTTCAAAGTCCCGCGTTCCACGGTCTCTCTTCAATTTTTCGAGTTTTTCACCCTCAGTATGTTCAACCACTGTGTACAGGGGATACGTTCTTCCCTTTGTTGAATCTCTTGTGAAGCCTTGGCCGGCCAACTTTGGCCTGCAGAAAATTTTTGACCACACCCAAAGATGACACCCAAAGACCCATATGCGTTTTTTCTTTTTTGATCTAGTTTCTTCTCTCACTCCTTGACAGAGCTACTCAGTATGCGAATTTAGTGTTTCATGCAAGTGAACGTTCATTCAGGCGCCTTTTCCCAAGCCGCACTACAATTTGAGAAGGATTATGTAATGGCCTGCTACATTCACAACACCTTGCAAGCAAGCGCAGAAGCGATCCAGCAGTTCATGGAGTTGTTTCCTCCTTTTTACACTCACTCACTGCTGTCAGCACGTAAGCAACATGTTCAATAGATCTGCAAGTTCTTTGTGGCACACGGCGTCCAAGCCTTACCTTGATGAAAAAGTTGCTGTAAAACCCTTTGCTCTGGGAGCTACATGCTTAAACACGGTGCGTGACCACGAGGAAGAAACCAACCAAACTAAGATGGATCTCAAATTCGAGTGGTATACTGGCGTGGTTCTTTTGTTGTTGCATTTCTTGGCAGAAATATGCTTAAGACCGGTATAAGCAGCTGCGCTCACTGTTTCCAGTTTGAGCCAAATCAGGTCGGCAAACGCTTCAACTGCGAGCCTGCGCGCAATGCCAAGGACAAAGTCACTGGCATCCGTAAAGAGCACGCCGCGCTCATGCAAAAAAACACATGGAATGACAACATCATGCCCACGGTATGACAGGCGCAGCTTCAATCCTGCCGCATCCTGGAGTACCGTGCGCTACATGCCGGCTTGCGTTGCCGATGCCTAATTTTTGCACTACCAGCTGAACTGAGGCACAATGCTTAAGCTGCCAGCTCAAAATCCTGTTGAACCACTCTTGAACTCAGCCGCCGCATCCCTGTTTCACGTCGCAGCCGTACTGCCCCTGCCCTGCTAGGCTAAGAACGACGATGCGTGCTTACTGGCAGACTAGAGACTTGGACACGAAGATGACCAGTCTCTTACAGAAACGACACCGCTGCGTGTTCTTTGCCAAATATGGGACAAAGCCTGCGTTGGTTCAAACGGTCAAAGAAGGGTGTTGGCTAAGCTTCGACATAAGTGGTGTGAGCTAACACCAGATCCGAGTTATCCTGCAACGCTTGGACTGCTGATGCCTGAAACTCTGTTACCAATGCACCATCCTCATCACTCCTTCGTTCTGGAGTCCATTCTGGAGTGAGCGTGGCTACCAATGTTCCAAGAAATCATCTTCTGTGATGTCCTCTGCTGTCAGGACTAGCTGCTCGAAGCCACCTCAAAATTAGAAATATCCTGTCCGGTGTAGTCTGGGTTTTTGAACTGTTCCAGTGGCTGCCATAATCTCGTAATGAGCTGACAAATCTTGTTGGGAGGCCGAGCTTCCACAAGCAGCCGGATCGAAAGTTGGGACCAAAGTAGCCAGCTGATTGGGGACAAGCGCAGGATCCTGCAGCATGATGTCCGTCCCCAAGGTCGCTGGAGCCCCTTTCGGCCAATGTGAAACTCACAAAGGTAGGGACCCAAGAGTGAATTCAGCTTGCAAACAGCGCACCTCCGCAGTGCTCTTCCCTTCCTTTTCTGCTACCGCTTCTGGTTCTGTCGAACTTCTCGATTTGTACGTGTTCAGCGTCCTCGCTGAAACAAGGTACGGCCACGTGCCGTTAAAGCTCAAGCCCATTGATGGCCCTTGCCAGCCCACCTGGCAATCTCGAGCCCAAAAGCCTGCACACACATGCACGGCTTCGGTAGAGGATGCTCTGACAGTCAAACATTCACAATATATATATATACACACACATTTGCATATCAAGGGAAAGACTCGAAACTTGATAGGGATCCCATAGGTTTTGAAAGAGCTATATTAACAGTACCTACTTCGGCTACTGTTCCTACACGCTCTTTTGGCTGCGCCATGTTGAGAATGGGGAGTAAGTGAGTGAGTGAACAGGGCATGCTGCAAGGGCGCCGTTACATTTAGTTGCAACCAAGCGCGTGAAAGGGGCCGGGGCCCGGGGCCGGATGCGCAGCGAAGCCAACATGGCTTTTGAAACAAACCTGGGTATTTGCTACCGAGCAGCAAGTGCATAGCTTTTCTGATCTAATCAGCAAACGTTATTTCTACATGCAAGTAATGAACGAATTGAAGACCATTCACTCAAGAAAGGTGTATCTTCCAAACTCAGGTTTATGGTCTCATGGGTTTGCAGTACTTATACACACCGATTTGGTCCACGTTCAAAAGGCTGAAAGAAACAAATATCCATTTGAACGCCTGCAATTCTGGACAGCACAAAAGCCGGGCGAGCAAGTTGACTATCGCGCAGGCAGGGCAATGCAACTAATTTGAAAACCATCGTTGGGTGCTTTCAAACAGCTTTAAATGTTCAATTCTGTCTTGGTCTCTGTGACAAAGCTAATATGATGATGCAAGATGACTCTTATCTCCCTTTGTCAGAGCACTTTAGTACCTTGATCAAGACCTTCATGCCTGCCTAAATGCACATTCCCCAAAAGCCACAGCTTGTTCTAGTTGGCTGATGCCCCTAAATTTCCTAAATCTTCAGGGCAGCAGCACCACCTGTTGAAACAAATTAAAACATGCAAAATGCAAAATGACGGTGACCAATGACATGTTCGTCTTCTCCTGGTTGCCAGCACCAATCATGTACCGACCGATAAAGACAGGTCGTGCAAACCTATCTGAAATAGGTAAAGAGCTCCCCAAACGCAGTAGACCAAATGCAGACTTGTAATCCAACACGCTTTGTGGTTGTCTTTGTATCTTCGTTTCCTCTGCTTGGCTTCACCTTCATGCCTTCATGCCTAGTGTTGCTTTGTCGCAGTGATTTTGATCTCAGTATATGTTCTCCTTCAAGCACAGGACGCCAATCTCTCCAAGGGCTGCGGTGGTGCTCTTCAGGGCACCCCTGCAAACTTGAGATTTCAGGCAACTGGCTGCGAAGGCACACATCAAGCAAGCTTGAAGCAAGAGTTCACCTACTATCCCAACCTCTTGATGCGAGAAAAAAGACTACAACCCAACCACTGTCTTCATTAGTGGCAAGGCTCCTAGAACTATCTATCTGTCTAGATAGATTGATGGATGGATAGATAGAGAATACTTGAGCCTTAGGAACCAAAACATGCCTACCTCCTCACCATGGCACGCCACAAAACACAAGCCCATGGATTGAAGGTTGCATGATGTTGCAAATTGTCCAAATTCAACCCAAGGTGCACCACCACTGTGAGGCGCGCTTGCATGTCGTCCACCAAGGAGTCGCCCGGTTTCAAGGACTCCAATTGTCCACTCATGTGGTGATTCACCTGACATTCCACGTGCCTGTCTCCACTGAGATCACTTCCTTCACTTCCTTCCACACAATTATATGTACAGTATATATATTATGTATGTATTTATAAATATATATATATATATTATCAATCCATCTGTTCTCTCTCATGGACCTGTTGAAGCGTCAAAAGAGAGTGGAAAAGCATAGGGTCTTTATGCTGGTGCGTCACGATCTCTGGCGGTTTCTTGCGGTGGACGGTGAGTTCTTGACTTTTTGTAGTGATTCCACGTAATCTGCCTTTCACAGATCCGTGGCGAGTTCTGGCATCTGCCTGACTTTGCCCTGTTGAAGGAACGTGATGCATTTTGCCAGTTGAATGATCAAGGAACAAGAAGCTACTAGGAGCAAAGGGCATCGCTACTAGGAGCAAGGACGCTACTCGGGGCTCCTGGCCTTACTACTAGGAACAAAAAAGCTACTAGCCCCAGTGTCGTACCATGTCACCGCTTCACCTCCTGACGTGCATCGTCTAGCATCTGATTTGCCAACATGCGCAACTCGGAGCAGTTCAGCCTCTTGTCTCACCTCTTGTTCCTCCTTATTTGTCTTAAGTTTTATCTTTGGATCGTTCTATAGACCTTCTTGTTCTTTCTTATGAGGTTGGCAACAAACTGGTTGTGCAAATAGTCATTGAGAGAGAACAACAAAGCACTGTCCCTGCTGGCGTGCATAAGTCAATGCCTGGAGCAGAGGACGTGCATAGTTCTTGATCTACTGTGACTCCGGCAACACACTTGACTGATCTTGACTCTTGTCAAAACAAATTGTTGCGTTCCCTGGACTCCCCATTGCCATTGCCTTTCACATCGTTTCAGAAATAATAACCTTTGATATCCGTTGTTTCTGACTGGTGCTTGTGTATCACAAAGTGTCTCCAATGAGGGTAAGGTGCTGACAAGGCAGAAGTTTCTCAACTATCCCCCAATTGTGACTATGAATGTGAACTAGAAGTCTAGAAGTGAATGTACGTTTTTCCAGCTTGGACACCATTCTGGCTGTTCCAAAAGGTTTGGTACCGCACAATTCAAATGTGTTTGCTGGGCGTTGTTGTTCAAAGGTTTCGGCGTAATGGAACCGCAAAGGAAGGGTTGGCTGGCCTGAGTGTAAAAGCCTGGCGCATCTTCAAGATCCAGCATGCCGCTCATTCCAGACAGCTTTTTAAAGCTATCCTACAAGTCAAGCGGCAAATTGAAAGGAAGTTGGAGCCACGTGTCTTGGTGGCTTCGCTATTGAAAGCTCTCCAGCATTGGGTTTTAGCAAGTGGCTCAACTGGCCAGATCAAGCAAGCCTACTTCTTCGACAACCCTTTAAAATGACGTGCTTACGGGAGAAAGCATGACATGTGTTGGGAAAAAATGCAGAAATATAAAAACATACAGTATGTTCATATTGAAAGCATTTGAAAACAATCGCCGACGGTTCCAACTCCTTCAGCTCTGCAAGGCCTTCCTCTTTCTCCTGACAACTAAACGACCACTAGGCGCCAAATGCAGGTCTCGTACGAGAATCATTATTCGTCAACAAATACCAAAACTCAAGCGCCTTTGCAAGAGTACTCTAAGTAAGAGCTAATGTATGCAAAATATTAATTATTAACTCTTGCCCTGTGCCCCAATGAGTTAGTTCCAGCGAAAGCGTGGCCTGCTTCAGCAATGCGAGGACGGTGTCAAAGACCAGCTTCGTAGTTTGCAGAATGTCTTTTTGCCTTGACTTGTGTCACAAATCTCCACAAAATTGCATGCTTTGATGCTTGTGTCATCTTCCTGAGGCACTTAGCTCAATATAGTTCAAACACTCGCTACCCGTGGACAAATTGCAGAAAAGTTGCATGAGGCTGAAGTTGGATTGACGACCTTGAAGAAAGAAGGGCTGGCTTCAAAAAAAACACGTTGAAATTGAAGGGCCCCCAAGGCAAAGTCCACACATGTCATGGAAAAACATGCTGGCAAGTCTCAGGTTCACCCTACTCAGAACTACGTCGAGTCGGACTACTTTGAAAGACTGGGCTGGACAGTAATGCCGATGCTAAGTCTTATTGCAAAGAAATACTTCAGAGACTTTAGTGCTTGCTACAGGATAGAGGATAAAGGAATGTACTGGACTTGGGGAGAGGTGGTTAATTCGGCAACCTCCAGACATTCTGGAATGAGCGCCAAAGAGTTTGGGACTTTGGGCATTGGCTAAGGACCACTGTGGAAAACTTTGGTGTTGGTCGCCAGTGGTTTCATACTGTGCTGATGCAGTGGGCCTCGGACGCCCCACTGTGCACCGCTAGTTACTCCCACAAGCTCTTCATATCTATCATTATCTATCCAGTTTCTGGCTTTTGTACATTCGGGGGCATCGCGAAATGCTGTAGCAACTCTGTGCCAATAGTTCAGATCAATTCAGGTCCTTGTCATTGTCGACCGCCTGTATGGAGCACCCAACACACCAAGTTGGGTGTCTGTCCTAACCAAACATCTCACTGCATTCTGAAACATCATGAAACATCTTGGTGTCCCTGTCTTGTGGTAGGTCTGCTTCAGGTCAGGCGGTCCTTTGTCTCCTACATGCATGCCTCAGGCTTCGCTTTTCCTTGCGCGACCGTGTGCCTACTTCTCGGCCGTAATTGCTCCGCGGCTACAGCTGAAGGTGCTTGTCGGTTTGTGAACCCAAACATTCCGAGTCGGTGTCGGATTTTTTTGTCAAAGCGGTGTCTTTAGACTTCCTGTCGCAATTGCACATGGTCACTCCTCGTTGCATGCGATTTGATACTTACAACATCTTACAACATTATACACCCGACTTCAACTCAGGCACCTTTGGCCTACTTAGGTTTTGTAGAAGCTTGGCTTTGTAAGGGGCACCTGCAGAGTGAAGAGACCGCATTACCTGCTCAATGATCCAGGCCAAGATGCTCATGATGCCATGCAGCGGTGGAATTGCACTCTTAGGAACATGACCTGGATGCCTTAGCAGTCAAACTCGGGAGGTGTTTTTGTTATCTTGATTGTCCAAGCTGCTTCAATCAAAGCATAGAGAGAGGGAGATAGAAAAAAAAGAACAAACATTATATAATTTGATATACTTAAAAATAATGCCCTTTGCCAAAGACTGCATCGAAGATCAGGAGCAAATGTAAGGAGGGTTAGATATCATCGCTTCTCAGCTGACTCAAAACAAAGAGGAAAGAACTGTTGGGTTGGAGGCCATCGCTATTAGGGTGGAGGCCATTGCTCTTTGAAACCGGCCTGTGCTTTGCCTCTTCCTGCTCTTGGGCTTGCCGCATCGAAGACTTCTCCTGAGAGCTACCGCGTCGTCCGAATTTGGGTCATTTTCCAACAGTTCTGAACTCCGGTCCTGGGGACGTTAAAACAATAACCCAAAGATCCAGAAAGTATGGAGGATGGAGATGTGGACAAATCCTTGAAGCTTCTAGGTTGTGTCAGGCTGTCTGTATCTAGTATGAGGATCAGGTGCCGGCAGGGGTGCCAGTTTATCGATTCAAGCTCGCCAGCGGACTTTAGGGTTGAGGAAGGCTTCACAAACCCTGATCAAACATAGACATAGAGGACAACAGTTCTTCTTGAGTCTCCTCTCCGACTTGGGCTTTCGTCCAATCACCAGCTCCAATTGCAAGAACCTCGGAATGTACAGCCATCTTTCATCACCATACTATGTTCACTGCCACACTGCCACAGTGGAGACCAGTGAGAATTTCTGAAGCATTGTCTGCGAAGGAAGGTCCTTCCCACGCCCTCCTACGTTGTCACTGGAGCGTTACAGCTAACATCATCCCAAGCACTCCCAGCTCCGAAATTGCAACCTTCAGCTGCGCCTGAACATCACCTCAGTTCGCCCAAGAGCTCCGTTCAAGAGCCTTCAAATTCAGCCCTATCTTCAGCTGGCTTTTCAATACCTTCACCTTTCCCTGCAAGGCCCTTCGAGGCACCTTTGGCTTGAGAGACAGAGAGCTTTGAAACATTTATGCAAATGGCGGGAGGTATTGGCCCAAAACAAAACAAGGTCAATACACTCACGTGGCTGTGCTGAATGATAGATCGCAGCCATAAGTATGGCCGAAATATCTTCCAAATCAATATGGTCTTGCAGCTTTGCAATGTGTCATAGTAATTCATGGTACAGGTACAGAAGATTGTTTAGGTTGGAGGCCATCGCTACTCGGGTGGAGGCCATCGCTAGTAGGTTGGAGGCCATCACTATTAGGCTAGAGTAAAATGGACCCATCGCAGCCAGTTCACCACAGGGCACACCTTGAACGCCTGGTCACCTTGCTCAGAACGACGAGCCAGTTACAGTGAGCATGGAGAGTTGGGCTAAACTCCAAGGAACATCAAGTCATGGTCACGCTTTTATCATGCGAAGCTCGGTGGTTTTCCCATATTCAAAAGCGAAATAGATTTGGAGGACCCTGCACTAAAGCCAAGTGGGAAAAGGTTGCCAAAATTGTCCTGTCCGAGGCGCCAAAGAACTTGTGCCTTAGAGAATAAAGCGCAGCATAGACTCATGCACCATTTGTTTAAAAGAAATCCTCCCATGACCAAAGGCAAGTAGCAATCTTGTTAAAGCTTTTAATTTAAGTCATGCACACCATTGTACCAAAAGAAAAAAAAGATATATATATATATGGGAGTTGATCTAAATTCCTTTATCCGGGATCCGTCATGTTCGCCAAAAAAAATACTTTCGCCAAACTTTCGCCTTCCTGCGTTTTATCTTTCGCCGAAGTACGTTGTATTTATGTGTGCCATGTATGTTGTGTTTTGTTCACGTCAATGGCTTCTTCTTTACTGGCAAACACAAAATAGAAACTTCACTGTTTGTCAGCATGTGTCTTCTACTTAACTGTTGACACCCTGTACGTCTCTTTTGTTTCTCCTGGGTGTCAGCAAGGATCAAAATTGCAAGAATCACTGTAGTAGCCGGTCACTCAAACTTACTCATAATGGGCTGGGGGTCAGATGTGGCAGGGTGAACTTTCGCCAATCTTGAGCTGAACTTTCGCCAAACTTTCGCAGCAACAGCTTGGCATAGGTCCAGCAACATTTCCTGCTGCCCGCTTCCCTAATGCCCTCAGTACCCTGATCCTGCATTCCCTGGTGTTGGGTAGCACAGTAGCTCTTTGGTATTGGAGTCATGCAGCTGCGTCTTCAGCAAATGCATCCAGTCATACATGCCGATGCACTGCAGGGCATTGGACTGCACTCTGTCATATGACTGTATATGCACAAATTCCTTTCCATTGTCTTGCTGCGGGGCAGCTGTATGCGCTCGTGTGGGTGACCAACAGAGACGTGCTTCAAGCCACAGAGACCAACGTACAACGCGAACATGTCACAGGACACTGGCATTGACTATTGACGTACTCTTCCAGGCTTACTCACGCACTTGTATCATTTGTATCATGGCAGCATAGCACTCTGCCTAACATGTCAAGCAATCTACAAAACGCTCCAGTAGCAAGACTCTGTTTGGGTACAACAAACATGGTGGGGTGGAGCACATTTCACTCTGCCAAAGCTGAGTCTAAAAGTCAATCCAAGTTCTACAGCAAGACACGGGTATCAAGGCACCCTGAGCCCTGAGCAAAGCAGGTGAGATGAGCTCACAACTGTTAGAGACTTGAGAGTGAGATGGAACCAAATGGTACGCTTGGATCCTTCTTTCAGACTCGATTGGGTGAACAAAAGCCCTCGTCACAACATTGACACTGACTAGTAGCACAGGGACACAGAGAAGAAGACACTCAGCAAAGCACCTATGTAAATGTATAGCAGCTACATCATGCATTCCGTTTGGAGAAAAAAAATATACAGACCAGTCAATGTCACCCTCTCAGCCCAATGTTGCTCGCTTGGCCCTCCTTGAATTCCTTGAGCGAGCTACATTTGCTGAACGGTCGCATGTTTGAGTAAGCAAATGCGTCCAGATTTCCGCTGATGTCTAGACTCTAGACTCTAGACGAGAAAGCCATCTGGCCGAGGTGCTTGAATGGGAGGCGTGGTCCTGGTGCAAATTCGAGTTGAGGTGAGGTGTCCGCATAGTACGTCTCGCAGCTGGCAAGCATCTTTTGGACCTGTTTGCGTGCAACACATCCTTCAAGTGTCCAACAAGGTAGCTGTTCAGCGTGCTTTAACATCGTCAACAACAACAACAACAACAACAACAACAACCAAACAAAAAAGAAAACAACAAACAACAACGAAAAAACACAGCGCACCAGCTCCATTAAACCCCAATCGTGATGACCTGCTTCTTAAAGATCAAGCCTCTTGAAAGTGACAACTGCGTACTGACATGGAGGTGTGATGCACTATATCTGTATGAACTCAGCTTGACTTGGTGGTTTACAGGAAACCAGGCGAAGTGAATATGCTGCTGCCATACCTTGGGCAAATTTGTGTAAAGCGGCACGAAGGCGCCTGCCTGATCATATTTCTCCTTCATTCCCTCAAAGTCTCCCTCAAAGAACTCCTCGTAGGCATCCTCGACGCTCTCCAACAAGTCTTTCCTGCAGCTGCAAAGAGACTCACTTCAAAGTCAGGACAACTCAACGGAGTCATGACATGTCCATCTCTAATGCAGTAGGGTTTCAGCTGATCCACTGCCAGATCACGAGGCGCCTTGTCCAACAGTGCAGTCCTTGGAGTGGTAAAAACAACTTCGGAAGGAGTCTGCAATGACAAAGTAAGCAATCGCACGTTTCTGCGTTGAGGCAAACTCAACCCTACCGGAGCGTCACTGAAAGGGGGTCCAAGTCACTCGATAAACATTCGGATGAGAACAGCCACAGTAGTTTGTGCAATCACCTTGTAATTGCCTCAGTTAGGCAGTTAGGCAGTAATTTCGCAAAAAGGAGTGCCCATGAGTGCGCTTCTGGTTCCATAGTGACTCGAGTGGCTCACGCCGGACTCACGCCGGGTACTGACAGTAGGACACCCATGTTGTGACTAACCTTGGGTGTGGCTGTATCGCAGGTTGTTCAGGCTGTGGTCATATCATTGGCTGGTCATCCCAAAGTCAGCAATGTGAGTTGCGGACAACCGGCAAGCTGTGCTGAACACACCGACCAGGTCCTACAGAATCCAACCAGAAACAAGAATGCTACGAGTACTAGGCATACTAAGGCCTTACTACCTTCCCCAGGAACCATTCCTTGCTGCAGGGACCAGTCTAGTCTAGGAGCCCACTTCATGTCCTATCTTTCTGAGTTGCTTCGCATGTGATAGTTGAAGGATCCAGCCGCTCCTTCGCCGGCTTCACAGGAGACCTGAAGTCTGATGGCCCGGCTGAGCTCGGCAGATGCCTCTTTGCACTTGACCGAAACGACTCAAACGACCTATAGAAAAATGTCAAATGAAAAAGAATGAAAACGATGCACTAAGGCTTCAATGCGGGCAACCATCAGAGGATAGGCTCCAAAGCCGCACAAAGCACATCCAACAAAACCCCAGGTCTTCGAAGAGTAGTAGACCTGTACATGCAATGCAGGGCGTTTGATTGTGGGATAGGATTCAAGTCATAATAAAAGCTTCCAAACAGCTAGCCAAGAAGTGAACCTTGCAATGCTGCAGGGGAAGAGGGTTCCGTGAAGAGTAAAACGACCTGCAGCTAGTAGGGATGGACGGCTAGAACATTCTGGCCTTGAATTGAGTGTTTGCATTTCTTATCGAATTTTTGGATCACTCGAAAGAAAGAGAGTCAGCTGAGTGGCTGAGAAACGTACAGGTTCAATCGGTTCAATGTTGCTTTTTGAGATGATGTCTGTCTGATGTAAGAAGTGATGGTGCAAGCAAGGCCGAGAGCTCGATGCTCTCTCGTGTGAATGTTCTCTTGACAATACTGCTGCATGTTGCAGGGTAACAAAAGCAAGAAATTGGATCCAATGTTGAGCAAATGGCTGCGAGGCAGTGCCAAAAGATCTCAGATGGAAAACAGGAGGCCAGGTGGTAAAGAAGGATCTTGCCAGATGATGTTAATCGAGGCTGTCCTCCACAGGTTATTCGTGCAACAGTTGGGCACTTAAGGAGTATGCGCCTTGAGAAGATAGCTGGTGACAGTTGAGCACAAAGAGGAGGATATCCAGGATATGTAATAAAGAATGGCCTTCTGGATGCAAGTCGGCTGTATCTTTAAAGCGATTCAGCAGAATATGGAATATGGGATGGTCGATGTGTGATACAAAGTGGCCTCCCTGCAACTCTTGTGGTGCACATCTTAATACCTCTTTGCAAAATGGAGAAAAGGTGGCAACAGTGAGATGTCACCTATATTCAGACCTACACGATGCTGCCTAATTACCGTATGTTGCAATTCCACTGCATAGTCATTATTTGTTGCCGAAGGGCATAAGAGAAGGTCAGAAAGTACAGGAAGACCAAGATCATCTGTGCTGCTGTCCGCATCCATGATTCACAGCTGAACGAAAAAACCACAGCCAAGACCAGCAGCGGAATGACGTTGCCAAGCACCTCAAGTTTTTGGGCAACCCCAAGCATAAATTGTGTCAGATTGCAGTGATATCAACTTTCTCAAGGACTTGGACACTCAAGTAGCCCGAGAAATCCAGCAAGCCTAGGAATCTTCCGGCTCCAAATTCTTGGTTTGGGGGCGTGTGGGCATTGAGTATGCAATGTCCCGAACCGTCCAACTGCGATAAAACGTGGCTATACTTTGGCACATGGACTTAAAGTAGCAGTGTGCAGGCTCTGACTAGCAACCAAACGCCACTTTGCAGCATCTTTGCCAGGTTCACCAAATGTGCGGAAAACCCGCGCACAATGGAGCTGATTGCAGGCCGAGGAGTTTCTCAAGAGCAATCATTGTGACTTGAGTGCGTGAGTTCATTCTGCTTCTGAAGTCCGAAAACTCCTGTGATGTGATGTCGACCTCTTCAGTATTTAGCCAGGTTGCCAAGCCCACCAAACGGTCGATGTTTCCTGCAGGCTTAGATACCGACATGTTCATCGCGTGCATCCAAGCTTGTCTAAAACAGGGTCATACAGGGTCTGCGCCTTTGGTACAACTGCGCGCTTTGGGTTCTTTCATATGCTCGAAAGCAACTACGAGTAACTAGCGTTCTCTTCCTGTTTGATTAATGCTCTTGGTCAACCGTACTCTAAAGTACTTTCATAGGCATCGCGTGATCGTCCAACACAGCTGCGAAATCATTGAAGGTTGAACCGCGGAATCACCCTACAAGGTGCCTTTAAAGGTGGAGCCATAGGAGGCCGTGATGATCAACGCCAAAGTGCCAGGCATCCTGAAATCTGGGCTCGGATCAGCGCAGCTAAGCATGGGGCAGTGGACAAGGGGGGAACAAGTGGAACCAGCAAAAGAACTAAAGTAGTGAGTAGAATGGATTTGCTGAAAAGCTTGGACCGGAGTCGGAGTGAAACTGTTCCGCTCTGTTCGCAAGATAGGCGATTTGCCACTCAATGCTCTGAACGCCCCATTTAAGATCCGAACAAAAAGGGGTGTGATCACAACCAATTATTGGGCTTTGGTACTTTCTTCGGACTTGCTATTACTAGTTGCGCGAGCTACCCAAGTAGCAAATGCGGCTTCCAAAATCTCCGAGCGTCAGTGGTGCATGTGACACGAAGATATGGTTTTCATTGTCCGCATCTGCAAAGTAGGCCTTGGAAGGACTGACTGGATTCTTGGTTGTCAGGGTTATGTTACAGGATCCAATCAATCGCAAGAGAAATGATAAATGCAAAAACAAAACCATCCGAAGACGGTTCTTCAAACAAAAGTGATTTGCTAGTATATAATATGCAAACCAATGGGATTACACATGGGATAGTAGTATCTGGATACAGTAATTCCTTTTAATGCAGGTTCTAGGACTATGCATGCATTCAGACTCTAACCTCTTCGATCCAAACGGATACGCACGGTGAGTGCCCCGTTCATGAGAATCGATCTCTGCCTTTCACCCCCTTCCTTCGAGGCACGATCAAGAAGGTCACCAGGATTGGCAGGAAGTTTACCTGAAACGATGCCTTTTTTCGCCAACGTTGGTGCATGCTTCTTTCGAGAAGTGTCTTTCTTGCTTTTCTTTCGAGAGATCCAAATGCTCCTTTTGCTTTCAATCAGGATGTCACAGGTCATGGTGCATATCTGTGCACAGATCCTGAGGGAATGACACGTGATTCCATTCTTATTACGAAAGGTATCGAAAGGTATCTGGGGGGCCTGGTTGAATACTTGTGCTGCACAGCTCGAATCAAGCCTGGTCCATGTTCCAAAGGGTACAGACATTGTAAAGGAGTATGCAACCGGTAAAAATTGTAATTATCTAAGAAAACCAATTTAACGAAATGACTTGTGGTGGCTTTGGCGCTTTCGCGCTTTAGCTAGAGAGTAGAGTCACAATGGAGAACTTGAGGTTGTCCGCTTGCAGGAGCCTCAGCCGCAGCTTCGTTTGAGTAGAAGGTCTGTAGTTGTTAGTGCGTATTGGGACGCAGAAACTCCCAGACTTCATCAAGGAAGCCCCAGGACGGGGGGTTCTTGGTTGAAGAGCCCTTCGCATGATTGATGGGGTTCCTAGTCCTAGATTTTGATGGGGAAACTTAACTTTTCTGCTCTACAGTTACAGAAAATTTCTTGATACTGTGCGTGTGAGTATCCCTACAGTCGACAACAGGTCTTCATTGTGCCAACTTGAGTAACAAAGGCTTTGTCGTAAACTACTCAAGATGCTCTCATGCGAAAAACGAAAAAAAAAATGTTAAGATTCAGATGCTCTCCAAGAAACAGGTCGCACGAGAACATGTCAGCAATCCTTAGCTTGGCTTGTCACTATGGTCTTCATGATACGGTATGCAAGTACCTGGTGAACATCTACTGTTGCATCTCATGTGTTTGATGCTGATTCGCACTGTAATGTCATCGTCAAATGACCACCAACATAGCAAGCAAGGATCAGGTCAGCTTGCTTTGAGGCAAACTTGCAACTGGTCTGCAAAACTCGTCTCAAGGAAAGGGGTCAGGTGAATGCACCGGCCGTTGCCCAAGAATGCGACCGAGGCTCATCCCACAAATGCCACCCCAAAAATTCTTGCACTTGCTTGTTTCTTTTTTTTGCAGCCAGATCAGGGAGATCTCGGTGAGAGCAGTGAGGGGCCTAGTATGGGGTAGGCCGGGAAGGCCTGATAGGATCAGATATGTCGCCTAGCACTGTTGCACGTGATCTTCCAAAGAGTCGTGTGCCAGTCGTGACGTCGATTCTCCATACTACGTGTGGCTTCGGCTAGCAGCATGGGCCGGTGTGTTCTTTCAGGCAAAAACTGAGTTCTAAACCATTGGCAAGCTCCACCACGGTTCGCACGTAGGCTGCGAAACCATAGACGAAGCAATTCTCATTCGACAAATCCTACATGGCTTGATGCAGAAAAAACAAAACGATATGAAAAGCTTGCTTGCTAGTACTGAACTACACGGAAAAGACCTGCATGACCCTGCATGGCTTTGGTGGCCGCATGTTTCGTTTTTGCCGCTCCAAGCTGTGCTGCCGCACACCCCGTCCTCAGATACATATGGCTGGTTCTTCATGGTCTCCCTGACGGGTTCAGCAATTATCTCGCACAACAAACACAGGCAATGCTTCCTTGCTTCAGCGTCAACCAGTGCTTCCTTATGGTGCGTGTCGGGTGGCCGTTACTGAGGCTTTCAAACAGTCAGTGGCATTTTGCAGAAAACAGCTATTTGAGTTACCTGTCCAGCTCTTTCAAATCGCTGTTCCCCTTTCAACTTTCATTGTGCCGGAATGATAACAAGCAATCTGACTCAAGCAACAATGAACAAAGTGGACCTACAACTACTTCACTACTATGGTTTTTGGATGTTTGTGGAGAATGGACATACGAATCTTGCAGTCTCAGTTCTACCTTACCAAACCTAAGTGGTTAACCTTCACTGAGCGTGAGTCATCTTGTTTCTCCAGCTGGTTTGTAAGAGAGTCTATGGCAGTTCCTCCTTTCCCACCGTCTCCATCGTTTCTACCCCCGCCCGCCGCTTGATCATTCCGGCCTGTAAGACCGTGCCAAATCTTTCTCTTTGCCTTTGACCACGCTCAACTTCTCGTTCAACTCCTCCTTTTCCTGTCCAAAGGCTCTCCCTCCACCTAGTAGCTGCTTGTTCCTAGTAGAAACGGCCTCCAACCTAATAGCGATGGCCTAGCAGTCTTTTGTTACTAGTAGTTTCTCGTTGCCAAAGGCTCTCTTGCACGTCCAGTCCAGAAATGCAATACAAGCCTCTCTAGAGAGGTGGCCATCCACACAGCATCGGCAGCAGAGCATAAAGAGGTCGGTGGTTGCCTCATTCAGTTCTTTCATGTCCTGGAACAAACCAAAAGCCCAAAATGCGAGTTGGATCGACTACATTGCCAGGGTCACTGTATTATATAAGTGTCTTTATGCGAAACAGCATGGTTTGTTTACTCAAAAGGTCCTTTCCGACGCCGCTGCAAAACTCCTTGTGATTTCCATCGAACTTCTCACGGACCTGAGAAGGTCACTGTGAGGTCCGCACAGCTCACCGAGCTGATCAAGTGCCTTCTTCTAACCCGCCTGACTCCCTCGGGTTGGGCATGGACCTCACTACCCCAGAACAGGTCTTTGGTTTGGAAGAAACCAAAGAGTTCTAAATTCAAGAGTTAGAACAAAACATTTTGGTAAAACAACTTAGAACATGCACTTCTACAAAAGAACTCAGAACATGGGTCTAAAACCATTGAATCAGCTGCAGGACATACAACATAGAACATACACCATGACCGTACCAACCTGTATATACACTGGGGTGCCAAAAGTTGCGCTTCTTGACTTCTAAAACATCACAA